CACCACATCCCATGTCATGTCCAGGAAACCAGTTTGAGATGATATGAGCTTTGAGACATGGTACTGTATGTTATTGTTAGGGATGGGCTCCTCATTTTTTCAGTTCTGATCCGATTCCGATATACAACTGCTGATACCAATACGGATTCCGACACAAGAGCTCTTTTTACTTTCATATTTTAATATAATAAATATGTATTTATACTTTATATATTATTATTTTGAAACTAGTAAATACAGATGAAAAAATGTATGGTAAATTTTTTTTAATTAGGCCACTACAATCATACATAACGTTCTGTTCCACCTTGTTTGTACGTTTTGTTTTAAGCATTTTTGAGGCCTTTTGAGTTCAGTCTGAATATCTTGCAAGCGTGGTCATGCAAGTGGGAAATACCCCACAATTCTTCTCCCACTGCCAGCAGCATCACTTGCAGTTCCTTACGATAGCAGCCCCTCGTGTATCACAAGCTGTAGCGAATGCGCAAAACAGCCCAAGCTAGCGACTCCCAAATCATACATTGCTTTTTTTCATATTGCTCACGTTGTTTCACACAGTTGCGTGTGCTTTGTTTAGTGGGATTTTCCGCTACTCCCACCTCTCAAAGATTGTTTTTACAAAGATTGCAAGTTGCTGCTACTAGTTGCTTAAAATACTTGCAGATAGTCGCCCTCTTACCTGATGTTCTTATGCTCCCCCTACTGCGAAGGGTATGCGCATGACGTCACAGCAGGCGGAAGTCACTGCGCTCACACCCACTGAGTAGCAAGAAAAGTGGCATCGATAGCGTTCAGCTTGAATGTCGCAAAAAACACATCTAAAATGGGAAAGAGCTGTGGTGCAATTGACTGTACAAATAGATTTAGAACGAAATAGGAGCTATCTTTTTAGAGAGCAAGTATCGTATGTGGATCTGTCACATATGGCCAATACCCAATCCATCAAATAGGTCTGGATCGGCACCGATACCGATCCGAATGTTCCATGCCTTGTTTATGCCAAATTCTGACCGTACCATCTGACCAGACAAAATGTTTCCAAACTTCTAATGTCCAGTTTTGGTGAACCCGTGCCCACTGTAGCCTCAGTGTCCTGCTATTAGCTGGTGGAGTAGCACCCGGTGTGGTCTCCTGCTGCTGTAGCCCGTCTGCTTCAAGGTTCGACGTGTTCAGAGATGCTCTTCTGCATACCTTGGTTGTAACGAGGGGTTATTTGCGTTACTGTTGCCTTTCTATCAGCTTGAACCAGTCTGCCCATTCTTCTCTGACCTTTGCCATTAACAAGGCATTTACTCCCAGAGAACCACTGCTCACTGGATGTTTTTTCTTTTTAAGCCCATTCTCTGTAAACGCTAAAGATGCGTGAGAATCCCACTAGATCAACAGTTTCTGTAATACTCATAACAGTCCGACTGGAATCAACTACCATGCCATATCCAAAGTCAATTTAACTCACCTTTCTTCCCCATTCTGGTATTTAATGTAAACATCAGCTGAAGTTCCTGACCTGTATCTGCTTAATTTTTTATATTGTGCAGCTGACATGTAATTGCCAGATTAGATATTTGCTTCAACGAACAATTGAATAGGTGTACCTAATAAAGTGGCAGGTAAGTGTATATTAGTTTTCAGCTGACCCTTTATATATAGATTGTGTCCCAGAAACTGCAGGAAATGAAAGGTCAAAGGTCACAGGCACACGTGCCATTATACAGAAGTAGTATTAAAAACGTTTTGGGGGGCATCTGTTGAAATGCAAATTAGGAAATTATATGAGGCAATTCTGACGCAGACTAGGGGTATTGGGGGAATACGAATTGTGCGATATTATCTTCAGGGATTACACTGTGTTACAGGGAAAAGATCCGATGCCAGTGCAATAATTAACTTATCTGCATACAAGATGAACAAGATGCAAGACATGAAAACACATACATAGACACCCACGAGCGTATGTGCATGGTGGAAAATATATTCACAAACACACACAGGGCTCGTGTGAAGCAATGAGGTTAACCTAAGCTGTCGGCAGGGGGCTCATTGTACTGACAGTGATAAATATTGCTAGGCAGGTCAGAAAGTCCCAGGGGTAGTATGTGGGGGGCAGGGGGGGAGTGGGTTTATCCGCAGGTCCCCAGAGAGGCCCCTAATAACCATGCGTCACAGAGGTGTGGCCCGGTGTTGTGGATCATGTCTGGTAAGAGTCCGGCGTGCAGATGGGTCCTGTAGGCCCACCCTGTGTCATAGGGACCCACCCCCACCCCCAGCTAGGTGGCCTTCCAGGTGTGCAGACACAGGTACATCCAGGTGTGCAGACACAGGTACATCCAGGTGTGCAGACACAGGTACATCCAGGTGTGCAGACACAGGTACATCCTCATTCCCCTGCATCTAGCATCCGTTCAACACATAGCTTGGTGCCTTTACAAAATCCAGCTCGACATCTAAGTTCTTATGAGACCCTGGTCTGCACTGCCCAAAGTCTACCAAAGGGGGCACCAAAGAAGCGGAAATGCAGAAGATAATGCCTGGTGATATCAACATCACAGTGATTTTGCAGTTTGAATTCTACAGAGCCCCTTAGGTGTCATGGTAGAAAAAAACATTTTCTCATAGTAATTTGTGCTCTCAAGTTACTAATTTGTGCTTTCGAGTTAGTAAATTGTGCTCTTGAGTTAGTAAATTGTGCTCTCAAATTAGTAAATTGTGCGCTCAAGTTAGTGAATCGTGCGATTGAGTCAGTAATTCATACTCTTGAGTTACTAACTGATGATTAATTCGAGGGATCGAATTACTAACGCGAGTGCACGAATTACTAATTCAAGAGCAGAAATTACTAACTCAAGAATATGAATTACTAACTCACGTGCACAAATTACTAACTCGAGAGCTCAAATTACTACGAGATAATATTTTTCTTTACCATGACACCTAAGGGGCTCTGTAGAATTACTCATCTGCCTGTGCATGAGTAGGAAAACACAACCAAATAACCTATTCTAATAATCATTCAACCCTGTGTTCTCTTGAGTAAACTGGGCACACTGGGCATTCATTTTACACATTATGTCTACTTTATTGTCTTACAACTTTGTATGTCGTGACTGTTTTGGTGTAATCATGATCGAGAGATTGTGGCTGCGGTAAAAGCTAGGCTAGTTTCATTAGCTCAAGATGGATAATACCCTGAGATTGCAGAGCATCCAGGAACGTTCAAGTCAGCGGTGTGGGAACATTTTGGTTATCCAGTGGAGTGTAGTATTTTATTTTTAAATTTATCTGAATCTGCTATACATGGTTTTGCTATGTGTCTCTTCTGTGTAAGTACATTGAGAACAGGGAAAAATCCTGAGACAAATTCCTTGTATGTGGAAACGTACGTGGCCAATAAAACTGACTGATTTTTTTTTGTTTATGTAGCTATTTTATGTGAAGTTAATTTAGCATGTTCTTTTCTGTGATTAATATAATCCAGATTTTTTCCCCAGCATTTTCTCTTATTGTCACCCACCTCCAAAAATCAAGTAAATAAAGCCATATAATGGGTGTCTTAGCTAAAGAAAAAGGTGTCTTGCATGAACAAAGAAGCTATTAGGAATCTCTCTCTTAGGAATCACACTCTTTTACAGGACAGGACCCCTGGAATTACTGATCCAACTTCTGAAAAGACAGCAATGCTGAGATACAGCTGTGCCATCTTAATCGCTTATTTTGCAGTTTTCCCTCTGAAGCCTAACAGAGAGCTCGTTTGGATCTCAGAACACCGATCTCTGGAGTATCTTGAAGAAGCCCCACTTTATTTCCACTGCAGTCATCACAGTGCTCTTTGAAACAAGATTACTGTCCATTACCATCTCAATCCCTGACCTCCACTGACATCTGTGGTCAAATTGTGTGCCATGTGACTCCTTGGTATGTCTACATTAATTTTTGAGTCTCTTTTTCGTCTTCTTTTTTCGTCCATGCTGTTCATCCTTTTGATATCAATTTGAGAAGAAATTATTCACACAACAAAGCCACTTAAATGGCTAAAACGTTCTTCTAAGGAATGAATATTGCTTGTGTCAGCAGCTGAATTTTCCATGAGGCAGTGATGTTTTGATTGTGTTTTTTTAATTAGTTTTATTTATTGTTTTTTTTTTTGGGGGGGGGGGGGGGGCGTGTTGCGGGTGATGAATCTTCGCTCTAATTCAAAAAGTGTTACGATGTAATGATTGAAAATTTATTTCAGTGGTCTCACAAATTGAAGGGTTTATTGCAATAAGCAGAAGACGATCTGCAGGTGTCTGTATTTAGGAATTCTCAGGGAGCCTCAGGACACAAATCCTGCTGTTTAGGGGAATGGCGGCAGGTTGACGTGCGTCGAATGATAGAGTGCCTTCACTCTGTCCATGACTAGTCTTTTTTCTCGTTGCTGAAGCCATTCTTTGGTTATAAATGAACTGGAAGGCAGGCAAGCATAATTACAAGGAAGTGTTGACATCCCGCTGTGAGGCAGCGTGTGTGTGCGCGTGTGTGCACGCGTGTGCGCATAAACGGCCCGCATTCACTCCTGTCCATTTCCTGTCTGTTTGGAAGCCGCAGGATAGATGCGTCTTCATTCCCACCAATTAAAACCCCCTTTGTGAAGAAAGTTAAGACCCGTAAAGCTTTGGTATCTGTCCCACATGGGCTGCTTATGGTTACCTGCCCTCCATGCCAGCATAGAGGTTCTTCACCAGCTGCCTGGTGATGGCTGGATCATGCAGAATCTCCAGAGGTCCTGTTGCTGGATGCTTCAGCTGAGGGATGCAGATTCCAAATTGGAATTTTCTGTTTAGGTCTATGTGAACCTGCAACTCTTGTAAATTATAGCCAATAACGGGATCTGTCTACCCAGCAACTGAGTTAAGTAATGAATGTCTTATCCCTGGTGCATTCTGATCCTATTGGTCGGGTTATTAAAGCTGTTCATCCTGTGATGCTGACAGTCCATCTTAGTCCTCCTCTGTCTCCCGCAGAAATGCATGAAGTTCAACATGGATGTCCCCATCTGGTCCTCCAAGCAGCGCATCCTGTGTACTCTGAATCAGAGCCTGAAGGACGTGCTGAACTACGGCCTGTTTCAACCGGCCTACAACGGCAAGGCCGGCAAGTTCCTGGACGAGGAGCGACTGCTGAAGGAGTACCCCCTGCCGGCCATCGCCCCCGTGCCCTACCTGGAGGTAAGAGGCAACGCGTCGCTGCCCCCTGTGGAAGGGAGGACCACAACGCCAAAAGGCAATGGCAGATCTTTTTTTTTTTTTTTTTTTAATTGCCCACCACCACCCCCCAATGGCAGATCTTCATTCATTCCCATGGATAATGATCACATATCCCCTCTGCATGAGAGACACAGGTACAGGGTCAGTCAGTATCCCTGGAGTATTTAGGGTTAAGGGTGATATTATTATTTGGCTTGCTATGGGATTCAAACCTACAACTCAGGATCTCTATCATGCTCAGCTACACTCCTGCACAGTTTCCCTCTCTTGTGTGGGATGTAGGGGACCAGCGGTGATATGATTATTCAGCCAGCCACTGGATTCAAACCCATGACCATCCGGACATAGGTGCAGATCCCTGATTTACTGAGTTACACACCATCTCGCTGAGACTGTCTCGCTCTCTGATACAGTGCAGTCCTTATCCAGATAATATACAGATAATTTGTTCTAAACTATAGAATATCATTTTGTTACAGCACTTTAGATCAGTATCACATTTATTTTAGGGTGTTTTAAGATGTTATTTTCTGTGTGTGGGACTCGGACTCACCCATTTGAATGAAGTATAGACTGTCTGGCCATTTGAAGATGTTTGTTTTGTAGTGCACTAAAAGTTTTACTTTCTTATCCTACCGTTTATTATTTGAAATACTGAATAAAGTTTTTGTGCAAATAATTTGAGTTGTCGGATGTCCTTTTACGTCCCCGACCAGTTCAAAGGGGTTATTGTTGTTAAGCAGGATTTGCTGTCAGCCTCAGTTCCAGAACTTTGCAGCTGGCGGGAACAGAAGCAGCTTTTTTTTTGTGAAAAATGCTGGAGCCACATGCTGCCTGCAGCCCGACTCGCCGAGGTGTCACAGGAGTCACTAATAATGGCAGTTAGCAGCAGTAGCAGGGTTTGTTACCTGCGATGGATCCATCACGCTGATTCTGGGCAATGGGCAGCAGCTTTCCCCGAACATCAGTCAGGGAGCCACTTACTGGATCAGGTTCCCCGTTCGAGGGCCGTCCTTCTCGGTTTCCGCCGTGGAGAGCTCGAGTGATGGGGCAGGTGGGGGAGCCCCTTCTGGCCACGTCTGCCTGCCTGGACACATTAGGCCTTCAGCGGCTGCCGTCTTCTCGATGATGCTGCCGCTGTCCCGCTGCTTGCTGCCACCTGATGTTCTGATGATCTCCATCGTGCATGTTAAACTGGCGTGACACCAAATGAATGCTGGCTTTGAATATCACAGCATGTTCATTTATCTATCTAGCCCTCGTTTAACCACTTGTCCTGGTCGGGGTTGGGGGGGGGGCATTACCCAACTGGGATATTCCCGTTCAATCCAGTATGCTGAATTAGCAATAGTGTGTCATTGTGAGTGTGTGTGTGTGTGTGTGTGTGTGTGTGTGTGTGTGTGTGTCTCCTGCAGTGTTACCTATTTTTTTTATGCTCCAGGTCCCCCTGCAACCCCTCACTGGACAAGTGGTTTGGAGATGGCTGAATGGATGGATGGTTATTACATGTGCCTTTATTGCCGGATGAGTAGTCCTGATGTTCTTTAATGGGTAGCAGTCAGCTCCATTATTTGCTATAAAGCAAACAGCCTGTTTCATGTTGCTGTGCAGGGAATGGATGCTTGTGGCCTCTTGGGGCAGAAGGCTCTGCTGTTTCAGGATGCAGTAGTTAGAAAGCTCTGTTTCCCATAGACCGGCTCTGATTCACCACGTGGCCAAAAGTACGTGGACAATGACAAACAGCCCCAGGTGTTAGTTGTCCTCCAGCAGGCTTTTCTGCCGGCACTATGCAGCCGGGCAGGTAGGGTTCTCCTGGCAGCCGGGAACCCTGGATCCGTCCTTCAGACTGCCAGATGGTGAGACGTGATTCATCGCTCCGAAAAGTCCGCCTGGACGTCAGCTTCGCGTGCGATGCTTGCCTTTGTGTGCATCGTGATCTTAGGCTTGTGTGCATCCGCTTGGCCGTACAGACTCACCTCAGGAAGCTCCCGAAGAAGAAGAGCTCTCGCCCTGATCTTCCAGACGTAGCTTAGAACTTGCTAGTGAGTGTTGAGACTGAGGATGGGTGATTTTCCCGCACTGCACCCTTTAACGATCCCCAGTCCTGCTCTGTGAGCCGGTGCCGCTATACAGCTGAGCTCTTGACGCTCGTAGACGTTTCCACTTCACAATAACAGCACTCACAGTCGACCGGGGCTCCTCTAGCTGAGCATAAATTTGACTGACTGACTTGTGGTAAAGCTGGCATCCAACGATGGCGCCACGCGGAAAGTCACCGAGCTCTTCGGTACGAGCCGCCCCGCTGCCAGTAATTTGGTCATGAAGAGTGCATGGCTATTCGCTTGATTTTATGCATGTGTTAGCAATGGATGTGGATGCAACAGCTGAATGCACAAATTGCTATGGCTGTCCACAGACTTTTGGCCACGTAGCGTATTTATGAGGCACGTCATCATGAAAGTCCCATCTGCCTCGTTCCTTGGTTTTTGCTTACAGAAACACTGATATGTAATCGCACTGAAGTGCTCGCTCCGCCATGACAGCTCCTCAGTCAATCTTGCTTATCCGCTTGTGACCACGTGTGCTCTTTCCAGCGTGGCGAATGGGTTGATTGATGTCACTCCCTGCAAAACTCACACCTAGTGCACCTGCTGTGATTTCTTGTGGGTGCCATGCAGGTGATCCGTGTAATAGACCACTTTTAAAATGTCTCCATATACAACACAGTATAGTAAGGACAGGGCAGGGGGGTTAAGTCACCTTACTGGGGACATCATCCAGTGACTGATCGTGTCAATCCCCGGAACACACAACCAGACCCTGACCTCATCTCATCTCCTCAAGCCCCCATGCATGGCCTGATGCCCCTTTTTGTTTTTTCTTCATATCCTTATTTTCTCTTATTCTCAAAACAGACCCTGTTACTTCCTCCCATCCCAAAACCCCATAGTTCTGGTTGTCGTTTTCCCCAGCGAAGGTCTTAAGACGCACTGCATTGAGGCATAGTCTGTGTGTGTGGCTGACCAGAGCTGCCGCTCTGTTTGTCCCTCCACAGTTCCGGTATAAGCGGCGTGTGTACACCCAGACCCACCTGGATGATAAGCAGCTGGCTAAGCTTCACACCAAGGTAAGGGAGCAAGGAGCTCCATCATGGCCGTCTCCTCTCTGGCGGCCTGTTCACGAGGACCTCCGAGCGGCAGTATGTCATGAATGCAGTGGGGTGAAGCCTCGCTTTGCAGTGGAAATTGAATTCTTGAGGTTGTGGCAGTTCACTGTGTGAAGGAATTTTTAAAACACACCGAGCTGGTTGTGTGTGCATGATGTGTCCGTGGTATGTGTGTGTTGTGCTTTCACGTTCTGTGCGGCCCGCTTCCCCACACCAGGAAGGTGGCTGGTTCGGAGAGCGTATCTTCCGAGATTTCCAGTGGCATCCCGGCAGCGGTGTGGCGGGGGAGGGGGTTACGAGTTGGTGGCCATGTCTGCTATCTAAGAGCCTGTGCTGCAGTGTGGATCTGTCCAGAAAAACTGCAGTCTTTCCAGCTCACAACAAAGGGACTTTGCAGCATGAAGATGCACAAATTGGCCTGCAGGGGGCAGCAGCACCTCCTTCCATGGGTCACCAGGATGTTCAGTCTGCATTCTTAGAATGACTCTCACTTTTATTTCCTAGCATCTATTATAAGACATTTAGGGGCATGTGACGGGAAGAGGGATGGCCAGTATTAGAATTGGTACTATAGGAATTTTATTACCATATTATTGGTTTATGATCAGCCATGCTCATCTGTGTTTTCAATGATACCAGTAACTAAATAAATCTATAAGCTGGTTTGAGGATTATGTTACTTTATTTAGGCTGCTTGTCAGTATGGAATTCGTATAAATTTGTGTTGGAAAATCCATGTTTGAGTGTTAGGAAGGTTCCAGAGGCTCTTCAGTCAGGTTGAATCATCCAGCTGCTTCAGTGGAGCAGGTAGAAATTTGAAATCCTTGATGCTTTTTTTGGATAAAATGTGCTAAGCAGATTGATATTCCTTCTGGGTTCTTCTCCCAGAGCTTTGTCCTGTACCTCTCTGCATTCACCCGCGCGTCCTGTAATCTCTGCCGGCTTCACATCCGTCGCTCTCTCGTTCCGCCTTCATCTCCCGAGCTCCCGAGTTCGGCACTGAGCCGCCTCTTGCGTCGTGTTTGTCGAGATAAACGGGGGAAGCCTGGAACGCCGCCGCTGGCGACGGGTACCTGCGTCCCCCAGGGAGCAGAGAGCCGAGCTGAAAAGCCTCTTTAGCTCCCCCTCCTGGCACTAGGGATGCGGCTTCGGAGCACCAGTGTTCCGACTCACTGAGGGAGGTTCTCGTTAAGAAGTGACTTTCAGTGCGAGCCATTATGAATAATTACCATATTCTCAAGTGAATCGTATTCCTGGGATTAAAGGAGGCCTACAGCTCAAGAGACACGCTGCGAGTTCTCAAGCGGGAGAATCTCCAGGGTGCCAGGTGCAGAGCTTTTAATTAAAGGACGTCAGGACATTTGCCAGCTGGGGGTGCCGTTTGTATGTGTGTGAGACCGGCTGTGGTGAGGGGGTGATCCGGAGACCTGTGCACAGAGTCCTGAATCTTTACCCAAATCGTTCCCCAAGGATTCAGCAGGGTGACCAATCAGAGCCACGCTTGAACCCCAGGGGCGTGTATTCTCCAGGAAGCCCATCTCATTGGTTCACTTCCCTGCATACGGACAGAGCAGGGGTGCTGTTCCTTACATAAGCTATGCCTGTTTGCTTGTCAGTCATCCTGCAGTTTGTTTGAACTTGTTAGCGAGCTCCCTTGGAACTGATTTTACCATACGTGTTAAGCCACTGTGGTAAACGGCCATGTGAAACCTCCGTCCTGTGGCGTGGTGGCCCGGCTCCTCCACCCCTGCCCCCCCCCCGGTCTGGCGGGTACAGCTCACGCCGTGCCGTGGACACCTTCAGCGACATCATCTCTCGTTGTGATGAGCGGCCCAGCATCATCTCCCAGGCTGCCTTAAATTGGGCATAGCAGTGCTTGAGCAGGATGACTATGACAAGCAACTGGGAGGTCCCTCAGAGAGGCGCAACAGAGCGATTGAGGAGGTCCCAGGGAAGGCCAGGTGAAAGATGTGACCATCGTGGTTTGACTTGGTTTGGCTTGGCTTGATTTGGGCTGGCTTGGTTTTATCCAGGTCCGGCTGGGCCTGGTCCAGCTTGGCCTGGTCTGGTTTGGCCAATTCCGACTTGGCTTGGGCTGGCTGGGCCTGGTCCGATTTGGCTCAGGCTGGATTGGCCTGGTCTGGTTTGGCCAATTCCGACTTGGCGTGGGCTAGCTGGGCCTGGTCTGGCATAGCTGGGTTTGGACAAGCTTGATTTGGGCCTGGTTGGATTAGTCCGGTAGTGACTTAGAAAATTTATACTCACTGAAGCTGTGTAATGTGGCTGTGATGTGCAGGGATCAAGAAGCCAGGCGACACAGAGCCCTTTGGGGACATGGGACAGCTTTTAATATGTGTGTGTGCGCGCGTGTGTGCGGGCGTGTGTGCGGGCGCGCATGTGTGCGTGCATGTGCATGCGCGTGCGTGTGTGTGCGCGTGTGTGCGCGTGTGTGTGAGGGCGTGTGTGTGTGCAAGCGTGTGTGCGTGTATGTGTGTGTGTGTGCGTGTGTGTGTGTGCGCGTGTGTGTGTGTGCATGTGTGCTTGTGCGTGCGTGCGTGTGTGTGCGTGTATGCGCCTGTGTGTGTGCATGTG